AATGTACTCTGAAACTATCAAGAGATACATAAAATCCATATGTGGTTATTAATAAGTGCTGAACAATTAATTAGGACATCTGTATTAGTCAGGGTTCTCCAGAGAAAAAGAACCAACAGGATGTATGTATGTGTGTGTGTGTGTGTGTGTTGTGTGTGTGTGTGTGTGTGTGTGTAGAGAGAGAGGGTAAGAGAGGGAGAGGGAGAGAGCTTAAGATAGAGAGATAGATTTATTATAAGGAATTGCCCCATGTGACTATGGAGGCTAAGAAGTCCCAAGATCTGCATTTGGCAAGCTTGAGACTTACAAGAGCTGTGTGTAATTATAGTCTGAGTCTAAAGGCCTGAGAACCAGGACAGCCAATGGTGTAAATTCCAGTTTGAAAGCTGGCAGGCTCAAGACCCAAGAACAACTGATGTTTAAGTTCAAGTCTGAAGGCAGGGAAAAAAAAATCAATGCCCTAGCTCAAAGCAGTCAGGCAGAAGGAATCTCTTTTACTAAGACTTTTTGTTTAATTTAGGTCTTCAATTGATTGGATGAGGCTCACTTGCATTAGGGAGGGCAATCTGCTTTACTCAGTACAGTCATTCAAATGTTAGCTTATACAGAAACACCCTCACAGACGTGCCTTGAATAACGTTTGACCAAATGTCTAGACACTCCACAGTCCAGTCAAGTTGATATATAAAATTAATCATCGTAAGTCTATCCCTTGTCAACTTGGCACCCATATGCATTTCCTTAAATCAAACTTAATCTCTGAGTAAAGACAATAACAAAATCAAAATCATAATTCTACGTAGCTTAGTACAACTGTACTGTGTGCAACCAAAAACAGACTAACCCCTTCCCCAGTAAAGGTAGTAATGTCCTTGAGCGATGTTTACTCTCCTCCTTGATATCCCACAACTTAAATTCTATGACGTAAAATTAACAATACTTAAATACTGTGAGATCAAGTAAATAGACCTTATACAATAAGGACATAAGGGAAAAAACAAAGATTTTATATATATACATACACACACACACACACACATACACATTCATAACAAAATAAAAAGAATAATCATGGCAATTAGAGTCCTCATTTCTATAACTAGTCATGTGATCATAGCTGGTATTTATAACTACTTTCTTCCCCTAGTCATTCTGTATTCCCTTTGCCTTCAGCAAACACTTCAGCTGATCATGGTTCTTTACCTGGTTAGGTGACCCAAATCTTCATTCCTGAGGGGTTTGGGCCATTAATAGTCCTGTCTGGATTGGGTTGTTGTAGTTTTACATTGGCCTTAATCACAGGGCATGGTAATACTAAGATTGCCTTAAGGACATCCTCTTCCTTACCTGCACTGTGAAGCAGCAGTCCAATTTCCCGCTGGTCGTCAGGATCAATCACCCTAGCCAGCACAGCTACCCGCTTCTTTGACTGTTGATTTAGACACATGAGGAGTGTCTAGGCAGCAGTTTTAACTTCCAGTTCAATAGAATCGTTGTATCTCCTGGTAGAAGCATTCCTCCCATTGGAACTAAGACCTCTAGGCCAGCAGAATATAAGGTCACAGAAATAGGAGCAAAAATTTTGCTACTGGGTCACTAGGGGTAATAGTAACTGATGCCACTCCCATTTCCACCCCTTGATTCCTGGACCTGGGAATTCTGGCTATGGGAGGAACAGCACCATATATTAGTTACCTAATTAACAGATTTTCCTGTTATATTAGGAAGTATATTCAGTGATCAGAATTTGGTTACTGATAATATACAAACACTGAAGCATATGTATCTATGTATATTTCTATTCATTTATTTATTGAGCAAATATTTACTTAAAAATATATTGATACAGACTTGAAGTTCTAATAAGATTCATCTATTAGAAATATACATTTACAATCAGACAGTCTGTCAGGTAAATGTGATTAAACATCATTGTTTTAAAAATATCTCCTAATGCAGGGGCTATAATAAATTCTATTTGGGGATGGGAAATTTGGAAATAAGATTGGCCATAGAGTGAATAAATGAGACTCTGTGCAAAGTGTCATAAATGAACACATGATTTACATGTTCTATGTATTCAGGTCATTCTAGTCAGTCATGCAGAGTTCATGGTCATTAAAGTTAATTTACTTCATTTTTTTGCATATTAAAAATGAGGAAAATAAAAGTATAAGATTCCACTCATGCATTTAAAGCAGATGTGCATTTGCATTACATATATTCAATGTAATAAATGTACTGAGCACCTACTATGTGCAAGACATCAGGCCATGTACTTCTGAGGATATAAATATAAATAGAACACAGTTCACATTCTTCATGAGGTTATTGTGTGATGACTGGGGCATAAGAGACACATTCTAATTACTTTAATAAAGAGTGAGGTAAAACAGAGGACACTGCCATTTAAGACAGCAAGTTAAATGCATGCTTAGATCTGTTCCTTCCTGAAATCCCACCAAAATGACAAAAGGATTTTTAAAAAGACACACAAAGACATAGAGAACAGGAAGGGTGAAAATGAAATAAAAATACTGGAAGCTGGAAAGCAGATGGACTAATGGCAACTGACTTAGGAGAACCAGCAATGCTGAATCGTAAGCCTGCAGTGGAAAAAAAGCAGTGAATTACATTATAGAATACTCAAACAACGAAGGAAGTGGGGGACCTCAGGTACCTCTGAAAATGTAGGTGAAGAAGGAGCTAAAACAGGATGATTGTTTGAAAGTCTGTTTACAATACTGTCCCTACAACTTTTTTTCCACTCTGATTCCAGCACAATACCCTGAAGTTCTGATCTCTGGAGAGAGAAAAGCAGAGGGATTCTGGACCAAGAGGCACAAACAAATTTGAGGACAGGAGTGTTTTAGTGAAAATGGGATTAAATAAAAGTTTACTGAATGTGGAGACTGACAGTCTTTTTCCACTACCAGGATCTCTAAGTGCTGAGAGCCAAATAGCATACTGGCAGAGTCTCCTCTGGAGAGTATGATCTGCCAAGAGGAAAGAACTAAAATATTGATGTCTTCAATTCTTTGTTTTGGGTGACTATTCTGTTCACTGTAAGATGTTTAGCAGCATTCCTGGGCCCTACCCACCGGTAGATAGCAGTAGCACCCCTCCTCCAGTTGTGATAACCAAAATTGTCTCCAGACATTGCCAATGTCCCTGGAGGGTGGTGTCACAGGCATTCCTACCAGTTGAGAAACACTGGCTTATAGTGATGCCCACAGTCAAAAATCCCTATCCATGAGGTTCCATTCAGCTTTGTAGTGCCTTTCTCTTAATATAAGCAGATAGCCAAAGTTCTCAGACATTCAGAGATAAATTAAGAAAAGAGCTGCTTGGAGGAAACAGGCTGTGAGAGAATAAGGAGGAGGAGGAGGAGGAGGACGAGGATGAGGATGAGGAGAAGGAGAAAGAGAAGAGAGGAGGGGGAGAAGGAGAAGGAGAAAGAGAAGAAGAAGAAAACTGTAAAAAGAAGATGTAGTATCTATAAAACAAGAGGAGGACATGGTAGGGTGGGGGAGCATCAGCCTGAGGCAGAGTATTGGAACCTGAGTGAGGTAAGGGTTTCCACTCAGGAGAGGGGCAGAAATGACTGGGAGTTTGCTTATATTTAGAAGGATTGATCAAAAAGTAACTACATTAAGGATAATGGGCATCTGGTTTTTCACTGTCAGAGAAGGAAGTTGCAAATATGAAAAGAGACAAAAGTAGAATGAACTCTGTAGTGTTTAGGTTATTAGCGTTAGATTATTGGTTAGATTATTAGTTAGCAATATTAGTAGCTGGAAATACATGTAGGTATAAACATAAACGTGTATGTGTTTATATATGTATTGTACATACATGCATGTTTATGTATTTGTATGTGCGTGTGTGTGTATTTTCACTGGCTCTGTCCAGTGAGAAGGCCTAGTAGTAGAGGCCACTCATGATCCAGATTGTGGCTTCTAAATACCATTCTCCACTAAAAGGAACCAAGAACAACTGGACAAATAGCTGATTCCACCATTAGGGCAGGAAAAGCACACGTTTAGCCTGGGTCATCTTATGCCAGAAAGTAAGGATGTGCTCAAAGAATGATGGGGACATGTCAAGAACATACAGAAACCAGCTTGAATAGGCTCCCACTGGCCAAATTTGGGACAATTTGAGCGATATTAATTGTTACACAGATAAAATTTCCTACTAATTTCTTGGTAACAAAAATGAAATAAAATTTAGCCAGCACAAGCAAATATAGGAAGACAAAACAATAATCAAATAGATTGGGTAAAAAATAACTCTAAAAACCCTCAGAAACAGATTAGCACCATAAACTGAATAGGAGTTAGTATAGTTGCTCTGCAATTTACAAGGCAAAAAACGGGAGCAGGATGACAAAAAACAGCCAAGAAATAATTTTCTAGCAAACTTGTTAGATATTTGTCAGAAAATCGTTTTCCAGGTCACTAGCTTAAATGCTTTCCATAGCCCAGCAGTGGTGGTATCAAGCCGCTGGTTGGAGTGTCCACTACGATTGCCTTGGGCACGACAGAAACTGGATGAGAGTGTGAAGTTGAGAGGATTTTCCAGGTTTCTGCACTGGATTCAGGTTTGTGCAGCACCCTGGGAACCCTTTCGGTTCCGAGTAAACCTGGACATTAGCCACCCTGGGACCAGCCTGTAGAAAGCATCGCTGGCCAGGGGGGACTATTTATATTTAAATAAAATGAAATGAAATATTCAGTTCGTCGGTCGCAGTAGTTACAAGTGCTTTACAAACACAAGTGGCTAGTGGCTACTGTATCACACAGCACAGATATAGAATCTTCCCATCATCGCACAGTCTACAGGATAGAGCAGATGTAGCCAATTTACAGTTAAAAAAAAAAAACACCTTGGAAGTCAGCGCCACTACTAAAAATAATAGACATTATTACTCTTTTCAAGTAAGATGACGGGGGAAAATTATGTTAAGAAACACCAAGTAAAAAAATCTGCAAAGGCACCTTTTTCAGGGAACTCACTCGTAGTTCCCACGAGTTCGTCTTTCCGCGGTGACTTTTACAACGCAGGGAAGTCCCAAAGCGGTGGGCGATCGAGGGCCAAGACCCCCGAGATTTGATTGTTCGGGTGGTGGACGCCT